TATTCTATTCTATTCTATTCTATTCTATTCTTCATTCCATTATTCTACTCTATTCTAATATGTTCTGTTCTATTCTATTCTATTTCATACCATTTTAGATAAGTGACTGTCTAGACCAGGGGTATCAAACTCGCGGCCTGTAGGCCGGATGCATCACGCACTTGCCACTCCCGCACCTGGTTTACTGAAGGGGGGGGGGGAAGTCCTGATACATCATGTGATGCCACCATGACGAGGTGAGTTTGACAATCCTAGTCCAGACTCTTCTTAAAAACCTCCAGTGATGGAGCACCCAGTTTCTGAAGGCCAGCTGTTCCACTGGTTAATTGTCCTCACTGTTAGGAAGTTTCTCCTGAATTCCAGGCTGCTTCTCTCTTTGATCAGTTTCCAACCATTGTTTCTTGTCCTGCCCTCTGGTGATTTGGACAATAATTTGTCCCCCTCTTCTTTGTGGCAGCCCCTCAAATACTGGAATACTGCTATCATGTCACCCCTGATTCTTCTTTAGACTGGCCAGACCCAAAACCTGCAGCCATTCTTCCTATGTTCTAGTCTCCAGGCTCTTTGATCATCTTAGTTCACGGGCCTTCAAACTTGGCAAGTTTAAGACTCGTGGACTTCAACTCCCAGAATTCCTGAGCTAACATGACTGGAGGAGGAATTCTGGGAGTTGAAGTCCACGAGTCTTAAACTTGCCAAGTTTGAAGGCCCCTGTCTCAGTTGCTCTTTTCTGAACTTTTATCCTTTTTATCCTGAACATCTTTTTTGTAGTATGGTGACCAAAAATTGGTTGCGGTATTCCAGGTGTGGCCTTACTAGGGTTTTGTAAAGCAGTACTAATACTTAATGTGATCTTGATTCTATGCCTCTGTTTATACAGCCCAGGATTGTATTCGTTTTCTTGGCTGCTTATATAGTTATATCTAAATATATAAGATATATGAGAAAAATAGTAGACAATCCACACCCAGAAGCTTGAAAAACAGCGCAATGCTGACTAGAATTCTCCAGAAACTGTCCAGCTCACAAGTTCCTGAGGGAAGATGAATAAGTTCCAAAGAGTTCAAAAGCATTAATATACTTTGATTACTTTTTAGACTCTTTCTTTCAAGAGCTTCCATGAATTACTTGCCTTCCAAATCTAATGACCTGTGACTTTCTATGTTAAATCTTAGAGGATTTTGAACTTTTGCTGTGAAGGTTTGCTCGGGAACACAACTGTTGTGGTTCGCTGGCAGCCTGTGCAGATGGCAGGGGGAAGAATGGGGACCAGTCAGGGAGTCTGGAGACGACTCGGACGAGGGTCCTGCGTCCGATGCAGGGATGGGGCCAGGACCATCTGGGAGTTGTGTGCTGACTCTGGAGCCTCCAGAATCTGGCAGCAGCGAGGCAGAGGAACAAGGGGAGCCTGTTCCCAGTACACGTATGCACAGAGCTGCCAGAAGGCAACAGCAGCTGAGACAAAAGGGGCGACTTGGGAGTAAGGCTGGGAGTTGATTGCCCTTCCCATAAGGTACAAAGGACAGGCCAAGATGATGAAACCTTTGCAGGAAGCAAAGTTGTTCGTTCGGCTCAGATTCATTCTTGAAGCTCTTTGTACTTCGGTTGGTTTTTGTTTCTAGTTCATTGGACACTTCTGTTATTGGCAGCACTTCACAGGGAAGAAAGGTGGGTGCTTATCTCGAGGGACTGCTTGAGATTCATTACCGGCTGGAAAATAATTCCCAGCATTGCAATAAAACAAGACTTGTTTTTAAAATAAGCATGTGCGTAATTATGGTCTCGGAAGCCTTGGTCAGAACAACAACTTGTTCAAAAAATGTCCTTGAAAGTCCCTTAAGAAAGCTGAATTGCATTACAGACTTTCCAATACTACCGAAACATCCCCTTCTGATCTCCTCATTCTCCATCCAAACGAAATGGACATTGTCCAAACTCTTTCTTAATCCCTTCAGTCTCCCTCTACCTGGCAAGAGCAGGACAATTGGACTATTATCTAGAGCAAATTTTCCTCCTATTCATACCAGCTCTTTTATTATTTATTATTTTATTATATATTCCATACCTCTACTCCAGGCTTGTGTGCGGCTACAAGATCCTTTACCATTCGGACTTCAGATACTGTTATGCCACCAACCATGAAGATGACCAGAATAGGGTGATCGCTTGGATGAGGTCGGCTCACCTGATCAAGAAAGAGAACAAATGTTTATGGAATCTGATCTTTAATCCTATAAAAGCATTTTCTCTGGCTTGGAAGTAGTGGGGGACTCCAAAAGAGAACTGAAAGCAACATCTCTCTTTTACAACAGCCCACAGGTCTGAGAATAGAATAGAGTAGAGAAGAGTGTAGAGTAGAGTAGAGTAGAGAAGAGTGTGGAGTGGAGTGTAGAGTAGAGTGTAGAGTACAGTAGAGTGTAGTGTAGAGTAGAATAGAGTGTAGAGTAGAGTAGAGTAGAGTAGAGTGTAGAATAGAATAGAATAGAATAGAATAGAATAGAATAGAATAGAATAGAATAGAATAGAATAGAATAGAATAGAATTCTTTATTGGCCAGGTGTGATTGGACACACAAGGAATTTGTCTTGGTGCAAATGTTCTCAGTGTACATAAAAAGAAAAGATACATTCAACAAGAGTCAAGAATCACCAGGTTCAACACTTAATAATAGTCATAGGGTACAATAAAGCAATCAAATCATACTAGGAAGCAGTCAATACAAATCGTAAGGATACAAGCGACAAAGCTACAGTCATACAGTCACAAGTGGGAGGGGATGGGTGATAAGGAGTGATGAGAAGATTAATAGTAATAGCAGTGCAGACTTTGTAAATAGTTGAACAGTGTTGAGGGAATTATTTGTTTAGCAGAGTGATGGCGTTCGGGGGAAAATGTCTTTGTGTCTAGCTGTTCTGGTGAGCAGTGCTCTATAGCATCATTTTGAGGGTAGGTCATTTTGAGAAGACGAACTAAGGACATCATCCCATCGCTACCATCATGGTTTGCTATAATTATGAGGCAAGAGTTTCAGAACAAGGCTATTCTGTTAATAGCACAAAAGGTTTTCACTTTTCACTTTCCTCTCTCTGTCATTGCAATTTTACAGTCAATTTTACAGTCTTAGTCCTAAGATTGCTGGCCAGATCTAAAGGAGAATGAATGATGCTATTCTTGATAGCTAACTCGTTTTAATTCTTCTCCAGCATGGTGATGAAAACTAAATAACAAAAGAAAGCAGAACGTGGTTTGCTTATTGATCTGTTGTTTGTTCAGCTTTCTTCAGTGAAAACTATGATGGTTTTATCCAGACTTTCTGAATTATCCATACAGGATAATTAATGCTTCTGCATTACAGCTACTACAAAATATCAATTTTGTTTTAAAAAAAGAACACAAATATTGTCTTGCTATAAAGGTATAGAACAATCTAAAGCTAAATACATCTAATAATCGACTTGTTCATTTTGCTGCTAATATTTTCATGTTGCAATAAATAAATAGTTTTGAACTTGCAGTTTGGACTGCTTTCTTTCAGATTTTGACAGCTAACAGTAAGCTCATAGGAGCAGAACCAGAATTTTAATAAAGTTATATAAAAAATATGTACCAGAACTAAAATGGCTTCAGAGAACAATTATGTTAAAAACGCCGCAGGAAACCAGCTCAGGGATAGATTTTGTGCAGGTTCCTGATAAGATCATAAACAGCAACTGCTCTCATTTCTAAAGTAGGAATAACTGACCTATTTACAATGTTTATTAAAAGATGATAATGTGCTAAAACACACCGGTTAAGATCCAATACAGACCTACGGTGCTTCAGTTTATTGATTTTAAAGGGCTTGTCTGTGCAAAAGTGTGACAAAGAGAAAAATATAATTTACAGACTAGGTGGGGTTTTTTTTTGTTAGCAGATTGTTGATATTACAAGAATGTGCCAATTAACCCATTTTACAGATGAGATCATTCTATTCTGGCACTGTTCAGCCTTTCCAGGTCAAGGGGGAAAAGACACCTCTTCAAACCTTCTCACAAACTCAAGATTTAGAAGAAGAAAAAAGACAAAATGATTAAAAAGATTTATCCTTTATCCTTTGCAGCAAAATTGGGTTCATTAGAACTGTCCTAATCTCTTGTACATTTACTAGCTTGATACCAGTGCTTCGGTACAAAACTATATGGTTGGGCTTAGTTTTTGGGGAGGAAAATGGGGGGTGGGGGAATTCTGCCTCTGCCTACCAGCATCCATCGGTATTCATCTAGCTAGAGTCCTGTCAGTGTGTGAGAGAGCTAAGGGCTGTTTGGAAACTGAAGCAGTATTTGCTGTGTGAGCAAGGAGACAGCAAGGAGCCTGGGTGTGGCTTAGCTCAACTGTTCTGTACTAAAGCTGCTTGGTACTGTGAAACTAAAACTGAAACTGAAACTCCTCTCTTCTGCTTGTGTTTTACATTTGGAACAGATTTCTTTTCAGATGGGGAGTGGGAGTAGAACTCCTTAGCATCAGAGTGTGTATATTAATAATAATATAGGGAATACTAATGCTCTGATGGTCATTTTGAAAAATCCTTTCTTAGTGAGCACCTAGAAGCCATACGTGTACTCTTTTCAAACTTGGATACTGTCCTCTCTGTAAAAAAAATTACCAGTCTACACGGACAGATTACCTATCTAGAATCTCTAATCTGTGCTCTCCAAGCAGAAATTAGGTGCCCAATCCAGCCATCTATTGAGCTGCCATACTACCAGCCCCCACTACCACAAAGATCCTACAGGAAAAGGGCAGTATGGACAACTGTGGGATCTGGCAGGGTGAGAGCTGTGGACCATAAACACAAAGCTTTTGCTGTGTCCCAGCATAACAGATACAGTGCCCTTGCTGACCTTAATAGGGACACTAAAGTGACAGGTAAAGGTAGTTGTGATAATGATAACTTAAGTAAGCCAGGGATCATGGTCCTAGAAGAACTTACTTTGGAAAGGAGAAAGCGTGAATCAGGTATTACGCACCAGTCACACAAGAAGAGCAAGACATCCAACAAGATAAGCCACCTTCTGGTTGGGGACTCAATTGTAAGGGATGTAAATTTAGGAAAGGATACGGAGGTTTTGAAAGAGGTCAGGTGTCTACCAGGTGCTACTGCCAGCAGAGACAAGAAGCGTATTCTTAAGATAGTCAAGAATGCCAGCAAGGACTGTGATGTTGATGCTATTATACATCTTGGTACAAATGACCTGTCCCAGAAGGATGTACTTTCTGTTCAGAAAGACTTCCAGAGCTTGGGGTATGAACTTAGTAATATGGACTGTAGGCTTATCTTTTCAGAGGTTCTACCAGTATACAAGGAACAAAAAGGGAAAGGGCAGAGTGTAGAAGAGTTTAATGTGTGGCTAAAGGAGTGGTGTAAAAGGGAAGGCTTTGGTTTTATTAGTCACGATGTCTGCAGCTGGTCCAATGAAAAACTGTACAAAAGAGATGGTTTGCATCCATCAAAGAAAGGGACTGAGTTACTTGGCATTAAATTCACAGATTTCCTGGATAAACATTTAAACTGAACAGCGGGGACAGAGAATTAATGGATTCAGAACATCTCTGCCCCCAGCAACCTAAAACTAATAAGGATACCAGTGCATGCAAAATAGATGTTTGTGCAGGTAAGATTATCAACCTTGATGCCAACCGAAACCAAGCATTTAATAGTGAGTGCTATACCATGTGCACTAATCAAACAGGTGGCAAGAAAGTAGGGACAGGCAGGCACAACACAGGTTATGTAGACAGTAAACACAGTGTCAGACATAAAGATCTCAAGTGCCTATATACAAATGCACAAAGTCTGGGGAACAAGCAGGTGAAACTAGAGCCATACTGGACTTCATTCTTACAAACACAGAAGAAGTGATAGAGGGAGATGAAACTGCAGGAACCTTGGGTGAGAGTGACCATGTCATACTAGAATTCAACATAACACAAACACAAGCAACAGAACATAATGACACCAGAGTCTTGGATTTTAAAAGAGCTGATTTCAATAAACTCAGAGAGAACTTGGGAAAGATTCCATGGATGAAAATCCTAAAGGGGAAAATAACTCAAGAATCTTGGGAAACTCTAAAAAGTATGATCATAGAAGCCCAGACCAGCACAATACCACTGAGAAAGAAAAACAAGAAATCCAAGAAGAAACCAGCATGGCTACACAAAGATCTCTCTGGCAAATTGAAAGAAAAAAAGGACAAGTACAAGAAATGGAAAGAAGGACATCCAGCTAAGGCAGAATATCAGCAGATAGCCAGAATCTGCAAAGACGAAGTCAGGATAGCAAAGGCTCAGAACGAACAAAGACTTGCAACAAAAGTCAAAGATAATAAAAAAAGTTTCTTCCAACATCTAAAAAATCAAGGAAACAGTCGGTCCACTAAAGAGAGAATATGGCAAGGAAGTAATAGGCAACAGAGAGAAAGGAGAACTGCTTAACTCATTCTTTGCATCTGTCTTCACACAAAAAGAAACTATAGCTCAACCCACCAAAAACATAACCGTAAAAGACAGACCAGAAATAAAAGTTAAAATAAGCAAAAAAATAGTAAGAGAATAGCTGTCTGATCTTGATGAAAACAAATCACTGGGGCCTGATGGATTACATCCCAGAGTTTTAAAGGAGCTGGCAGAGGTCATCTCAGAACTACTGCACCATATCTTTCAAAAATCCTGGAGCACCGGGGAACTACCAGAGGACTGGAAAAGAGCTGATGTGGTTCCCATCTTCAAAAAAGGAGAAAAAAACAGACCCAGGAAACTATAGACCAATCAGCCTAACAGCAATACTCGGGAAGATACTGGAAAAGATAATAAAAAAACAGATCTGCCAACATCTAGAAACAAGTAAAGCAATAACTAGCACTCAGCACGGGTTTGTTAAAAGCAGATCATGCCAAACCAATCTTATTTCCTTCTTCAACACAGTGTAAATTAGTAGACCAGCAAAATACTGTGGACATAATATATTTAGATTTCAGCAAGGCATTTGATAAAGTAGACCACAACCTACTTCTTAGTAAGCTAGAAAAAAGTGGAATAGATAGCACCACCACTAGATGGATTCGCAACTGGCTGGCAAACCGTACTCAACAAGTAGTCCTTAATGGGTCTAAGTCTACATGGAGAGAAGTAAGCAGTGGGGTGTCA